GGCTCAAGGCCCATCCACCAGGCCCCGGTGTCCCCATACCAGGTAAGATACTCTGTCCCTGAATGTGTTGTTTCATCGTGGTCTTCTTTAACCACTCTTAGTCTGGCCCCTGCCCTGGAACCACTTTGCCCTGGGAGACCCTACCAGGGGCTATTAGCCCTGGACAACACACAACTCCTAGGATCACATGACATGCAAACCTGCCACCAAACCACTTGTTTTAACTTTTCCACCTCAGTCAAGTGTAAAACCTTTTTTGCAGTATTTGTTGAGGTTTTCTACAATTGAAGATTAGCTACAATCAACTCTGACTTTACTTCCACTCATTACCACATCGATGTTCCAGTCCCAGTGGTAGCTATGTTCCCCTGCTGCTGTGGATGCTACACGTGTATTGTGTTACTACATCTAAGGGCACACAAACACATGAGTGTATGCAGCTGAGTGACCAACACCTTCTGAGGTGATGTTCTTGCTAAAGGTGCGCAGTGCTGGATGTGGTGCACAGAACACTAGCTTAAATGCTGGCTAACTTGCCAATAAATACCAAGAAAAATGATGTTATTGGTTCATATTTGATTTTGTTACATTTCATTCTCTGTCTCTCGACTCACTGCCAGTCAGGCAGCCTCTCAGGCAGCCTCTCTTATATTGGTCAGTTTGTATTTTTCACGGCCTTTTTCATACAATATCGGCTGGTCAGACACAGCCAATGACCATCAAGCAGGGTCAACCACAAACTGTTCTATTGGTTCAAGCTGTAACTCTCCAAAGTTGAACTTCATGCAAAGTGAAGATGTGAATTTGCTTGAATGGAAAGCAAATATTCACCAATGTTAATTTCGCGCCTGTGTGACTGTGTCCAAATGCTTGTTTGTTCCCTGTGCCCCAGGAATCCTGTTTGCCCGCCTGTCTGTGTGCTATCCAACTCCCTCTGTCTGCCTCCTGCTGCTCTGCTGCCCTTCACTAATATTGGTCATCTCCTGCTTCAGTAATTCCTGCAATAAACCTGTTAAACTTAACTGTGTCCTGGCCTGTGTTCTGCATTTGGGTCCATTTGCAACAACTGTTTACAGAAACATGTAACATGGGGCTTCTGTTTAACTTTGATGGTCTGGACAGAAAGAAATGTGGTGGGGATGAATAGAGGCCTGGATTGCAGCAAAGTGTAGTTCAGTGGTAATTAAAGAAATGGAAAAACTGTTAAGCAAGCCATGAACATCATGGGCCAATCAACTGCAAAAATTATCATGAAGAAATTATGTTTTTTATAAGAGAATTGGACAAGCAGTGATATAAAAAATGAACAAGAAAGGTTAGTGGGCTGCACTACTTCTTCAGGAGAATGGTTGGACATACAAAGCATGGACATTCATATAAATCACTGATTAAATAATCTCACCTCCACGTCGTTGCTGTTCTGGAGCTTTCAGCAATATACATATTCCTCAGCCACAGATGGAGTTTTTGCCCAGATGAAGAGGAGATTGGATATACGTATTCAAACTTCCAGTTTTTCTGAGCACTTTAAGGACTTCTCATCCGTGGAGACTTCATTGATTTTGATATATGATATGAGCGAAAGTGTCAGAACAGCAAGAATGCGAAGGTACCGTAAACCTGCAATAACGTTTTTTTTGGCCACTTGGGTGCAGCAAAAATGAGTTGTGAACATATTCATTTTCGTATTATGTCAAACAAAGATTTGCTTATTTGAACATCAAGCAGTTATGGATCAACATTTGGAGTCATATTTGTGTCCAGCTGATGAATGTGAGTCCAATAAACTCTCTTTTAGCTCTGTTTTTGGTCTCTACCAGCTCTCTAAAAACAAATCAGTCTCTTAAGCCGCTAAATTCTCCACTGTGATCACCGGCTAGTCTTCAACTGTGTCTTTTTGCTCTTTGCTGCTATTCAGGTAGTGTTAAGTGGCTTTTTACAGCTTTTTCTCTTAAAACTCATTATAAAACTCTGTAAAGTTGAGCAGTGCTGCAGATTCAGATGATTATAATCTGAAGGTTTAACACTACTTGTGAGCTCTTTCACATTGTCATTAGCCTCATTGTTTTTAATTTTGATTGAAGGTGAGATTATTTTGCTTGGTGCTGTTTCAAGACTGCACTTAGAATTTCCATCTCCTGAAGCCAGGGGTCAAAACTAAAATGAAAATGGAAATTAAACTTCAACAATTACCCAGTACAACTCTGAGTTCATAAAGTTTGACAGATCATCACCCCACAGTGATGTTACGAAAGGACACAGTTCAAAATGACAATGTCTGCATCAAAAAAATAAATAAAAATGGGGCGTCGGTGGGTTAGTGGTAGAGCAGGCGCCCCTCATACAAGGCTGTTGCTGCAGTGGCCCAGGCTTGAATCCAGCGTGTGGGCCATTGCTGCATGTCATCCCCCCTCTCTCTCTCTCCCCCTTCACACTTATCTGTCCCGTCCATTAAAGACAAAATGGCCAAAAAATATAAATAAACAAATAGGGACTCCATTGTTTGAGGTACAAATTGATCCACATGATTGCACAGCCCTGTAGAGCAGGAGAGGATTACACAAATTATTAATCATTAGTTCCTGAATCATAGCACAGTGGTATTGGTACTTTCAGACCTATTCAGTGGTACTCATTGGAAGACAGGGGCTGTGCAGGAAGATTAGCATGGTTTGAATAGTAGACATGTGTCTGCTTAGCTCATTGTCCACTTTCCATGCACCGTGTTTACTTTTTTTGAAAGCTATTTTCTGTCAGTCAGTCTCAATTATTCTGGTGTGAGATTACTCCCAAAGCAATTTTCTAGGCAGTCAAGTCCAATTTTTTAAGACAACACTGGGACATTTGGATGACAGAAGAATTGTTGAAGTTTGAACTGTCTGCAAGTTTTATTTTTCTATAATTTCTCCCCTTTTAATGGCAACAGTTGTCCAAACTTTAAAGTCGTTCTGACATTTAAAGTGAGAATATGTAGCTGTTGAAAGAAGAAATTACACATTCTCCCTTTTACAAATGAAAAGGGGAAATCATGAGCAGTAAAGACTACTCAGCCCTACTTGGTGTGGTATGATCCATAGAGTGGACAACTTTGGGCTGATAGTGCTGCCTTACTGACAGTACTGAGTCAGTTTGCTGACTTTGTGGTGTACTAATATTTTTTTAGAAGTGTACTACTAAAAAAAGTCATAAGATAAGAGAAGCCTTTATTGATCCCAACAGGGAAAATGCAGGTTTTTCAGCAGCACAAAGACAGAAATAAGTAAAGAAACAACTATACAATTAAGAACAAATAAAATAAGAGGTATGTACAACTAGCATAAGAGTAGAGATAAAAATATAAACTACAATAGAGCAATTAAAGAAAAAGTTATTAGGTAAAGTGACATGGTGTTGCAGCATATCCTAATGAAACATTTTGTATGATATCTAACAAATTAGTGCCCCATGAATGATGCTACACATGCAATGTAAAGTTACATAACATAACGCAAAGATTAGGTTTAGGCAAGTAAACTTACTGTGGTTAGGCTTGGTAATAGAAACATAGTGATGATGTAGGTTACTTTAAATGCCACAAAGTTCACTCAAAGTTAACACGTTCCAAACACCTGTCTCCTGAGGAAAGTCCTATGTTTTGTGACTCATCCACCACCCATAACCTCACCATCACCTCACCATCACATTATGGAGCAGCTTTCTTCTTATCAATGGATTGGTCACATGATTGCAACCTCCAAATGTTTGGGTTATACACAATTGCTGGCTCATAATTACATGGAATATGTAGGCTACAAATTTTGGCACATAACTTTTGTAAAACATACAAACAGTGCATGAGAACAGCGTATCATGTACAGAAATCACACCATAAGTAACAGTAACAGCAGTAAAATGTGATTGTAGAGCACCTCTCACACATGAAATGCAGCCCAAAGTACTTCATGTCAAATTGTATACACACATTTTAAACATTCAGACCAATTAGTCAAATTAAAAGGAGGCAAACACAAACATTAATATGCAATAAAACAGAGCAGAAATATATGAACAGAATTACCCAAAAACTTAAGATTCAATGAAACAAGGCCACAGATGCAGGGCAGCATTAAATGTTAAAGTTCCCAAAAGGTTAGTTCCCAAAAGGTTAGTTCCCAGCCTTTTTGGTGTATGACAATAACAGATGATGCCGTTAGTGTGGATATGAGTTATATAAGCAAGAGTCATTTCCCCTCTCGGATTATTTTATTTGAATTATGCTTCGAAGTATAAGGAGGTAAACCCTTCCAGTGTGTCACAAGAAAACAAAACAAAAAAAAAACAGAAAAAGGAACATTATTTTGTGCAACAGTAAAGGTGTCCAGATCCCCAGGTTGAGAACCACTGACATAAGGCAGTGGTTCTCAGCTGACAGTTGTAATTGTGTGTCGGGATGGGGATGGGGATGCTAAACCATTCAGGGCTTTGTAAGATGGTAATTAAATTAAAAAATCTATTCTAAAAGAGACAGGAAGCCAAACAGACTCCAACTTCCAATAACAATTTCTACAACAAAGGTGAACAAAGAGAGATAAATATAGATTAATGTTGACCTACATACAGCCAAGTGTTTGTGTACATTTTAAAAGTAACAATAGTGCAAAGGAATAAATATTGAATGGGTAGTAAAGTAGATTACTTTATGAACATGAAGCGCACGGTTGTGTACAGGATATGCTTGAAAACATGTCTATATATTGTACAATAAGTAAAACTTTGGCAGCTGCATTTTGTTTAAGTGGAAATATTTTACTCCTTGAAGTAAAAAAATAATTATAAATTTGTTATAAATAGAATTCTAGATTGATTTTATCTTACGGTGAGCCTTAATGAATGTTTTATTTTGAAATGCAGCACCGGAAGTCTCCGTGTTTTTCCTTGTGAGTTGACAGTTTAAGGCAGCTGCGGGTCTCTGACTGTCTGCTCATTCAGCTCAGTGAAGGTGACCAGTGTGGATACTCAGCATCACCGGCTTCTCCTCATTTTTATGCGTTTTTTTCCTCCTCATTAGGCTAATGGATGTAAAACAATATTCAGATCCTGTTAACGGGATGAAAAAGTCTAAAGTGGAGTTTAAATGAAGTCCGGACTCCTGTTGTTTTTATCTCTCACCTGCGTTCCTCCTGTCAGGAGACTGACTGACTGGCTTCTACTTTACTTGAGGAGTGAAGATGAAAAGTTTGCTCTTTGTCACCTTGTGTCTCTCGACGTGTCCCCTCATGGTGAGTCTATTTTTAAACACAATTCACAGCGATGTTGTGAGTGAAAGGGTGAGTCAGAGGAACAAAATGATACTTCAGTCATGTTTTTTTTTCCAGCATTAAAAGATGTTAATTTACACCTTAATGACAATGCGCCAACATGTGAATGTGCAAGGTGGAAACAACTAGGTTATAGAAAGTTATACTAATGGTGAAGTACTGTATCACCATATTCTAATTATATGATCATGTGTGTGGAGTTGTCCTTGGTTATGGTAATTTGTTCTCTGCTGTCCTAGTGTTAGTATTCCTACAGTAGCTATAATAAGAATGTGGATGGTATTAAGACTAAGTCCTGTGATTATGATGATTAATTATAGTGCTGCATCTAATTATGGTGACAATAATTAACACATTTTGTAAGTATTTTTTTAAGGAAAAATGCACAAAATTTTGGTTTCTATCTGAATATTTGCTGTTGCTTAGTCTTATATTAAATTTTTCTCCCGTTGGGATTGTTGGTTAGACAAAGCAAATTTTCTTAATACCTCAGACTGCATTGTTTTCTTTCTTTTTTTAACAGTTGTCTGACATTTTTTGACTTCACGATAGATCACATTAATAGAAATAATAAGCTTTAGTCCACAGATATTAATTTGCTGTCATACAAAATCACCAAATGTTCAAGCGGCGGCAAGCAATAAATATTTGGGCATTTTTGCTTAAAAATGGCTTCAATGATAAATTTATTACAAGCAGTGCAAGCAATTTATGACAATCAATCATGGACTAATTGTTTCAGCTCTAATCAGCAGAAAGGTGATGTGTGATTATGTTGAGTTTATTATTAGTTAGTACCTGAGAAGTAATCAGTCACAGACCTGTGGCCATTTGTATCAAAATCCTGCTGACTTGATTATCAGTTTGAAATTTAACCAGTGTTTCAATTGTCGATTAGTTGCTTTCACATTAAAAGCCAAACATTCCCCAATTCCGGCTTCTCAAATGTAAGGTTGTGTTGAAACACTGCAAACATCCCCTTGGACTTTGAAAACTATTACATTCTGACATCCTATATACAAAATGATTCAGATATTAACTGAGAAAATAATTATCAGATTAAGAGATAATGAAAGTATTTGTTTCTGTGGAGAATAAACATTGGGGTTGCTGAAGTTGCCCTCATTAAGGTAATTTGTGGGAAATCATCTCTCACTGTTGGTTGTTCTTGTGTAGCCGTCCTCCAGCTATTATCCCACTGCCCTTTTCCAGTGTTGATCAACCTAGCAGGATAAACAGTGCTCTCTTCCCATAAGCCTCCTCTGACTAAAAGCAGACTGGGCTGTCAAACCGTTCACGTCACCCAAAACAAATGTGAGGGTTTAATTATCTAACTGATGAACACTGCCACCTCAAAGTACACAAAACCCCTTTCATGTAAACAGACTTTTTTTTTTAACCAATCTCTCTTCTCTCTTGCTCAGTTATATTCTGGAAGGGATTCAATGTCGCTCTTGCTCAAGGGCACTTCAGGAGTACGGATAGATAGCCTGCTCATATCAAAGAGCATTGGTTCAGTTTGGCTGTAACTTGAATGCATTGGTTTCCTTTTAGGAATGCTTTATCCCAATTCACATGCCCCCACAATAAATGACTGAATAAAGTCAGTGGAGTGTGGTGTGGATGTTTGACACACAAACAAAAATCTTCCATTTTAAGCAAAGAACAAATGCTGAATCTATTTAATTAAAATTCAGAGAGTTCCAGTTACTAAAATTTCCTCCCAGCTAAGGCCCAAACCTCATGATGGTAAATTACACCCTACAGCCTATCTTGTCGTCTATTAAAGAAAATCAACAACACATATTTCCATATCATTTTAACAACACTAGTTGTCAATTTTCAAAGTAGGATACTTTTAGCATACAGATGCATTGAACTACTTGAAGCAAAAAGATATTTTTTACTATTAAATATAGTGTTCCTAGCACATTGAACTGAAGACAAGACAGAATCTTCTGAATAAAGTAAATTAAAAAAGTGCCTGTTTTCGGAAAAAAGCGTGATTTGAGCAGGCCATTTTCTCTTTATTTACATTTTTTTCCACTTCTTTTCCTCGTGAGAGAAATAGACCTGTGACTGCTCTGCCTCTAGTTTGAATATTGGCTTGAATGGAGTTAGTGTCATTCTCATGCACACGTGTAGGTGCTCACTGGTATAGTACTTAGTTTTAATAATGTTCATAGTGGAGAAAACTACAGCCGTACGTTGTACCAAACATGGTTAAGGAGTGTTGTGCTACTTTGATTAGATCAGGGAAACTGTCTCAGACACAGTCTGCGGCCAGAAACTAGCAGGGTCAGGTACTTCATGCTCCAAACTAGACTTGGGTGGTATCATAATATTATGGTATGCCAGGGTATTTAGATATCCCTATGGTATGGTTTTCAATACCCTCAAAAATATAGATGCTCATCTTTCTATTAACCCCATATGGAGAGGCTGTATTGCAGCCCGTTCTCATTCCCAGGTTGTCAAATAACACCACTTGGACACTTAATTTGTCATCAGACATTGACTCAAAAAGGCACCCTTTGCAGTAGCATGAGATGCTGCCGGGCAGCATAAGTTAATAATGTCGCTCGACAGTATGAGTTTGAAATGCCACCGTAACAATGTGATATAACTAGCTGAGAAATCCCTATATGGCGGGCGGGAGGGGAGGTGGATGGGTCCAACAACCCCTAGACTTTCACCCAGTTTTTTCTAAACCTAACCATGCGCTTTTGTTGTACATGGAAATAAACTTCAATTCAAAGTATTTTGAAAAGGACTGTATGCATGTAATGAGAAGAGACTGTACATTTTCTTTGAAAACAGAGGTGTATTTTGAAAAGACTCATTGCATGTAACAGGTGTAATCAGATATGGTGTCCCAGATCGGCAACAACAGGATACCTTGCGCCTCATATGTAGACATGAAAGTCCACTTACCAAACAGCAATATCTGACATGGGAGAGACTGTGTTGTGTATTGAGGATGTACTGTAATGTTTGAGGTTAGTCTCTACTCGTCAAACAGGCAGCTGAGCTGAGAGAGATGGCAAACGTGAGTGGTGGAGATAATGTCACAGGGCTAATAAAAAGCTGGCTGGCAACAGTAAAGAAAAAACAGCATATTTTCAAATTAAACTAACTGAACTGGGGGTGTGTGGGTGTTAGCTAGCTGTGCAAACAAGTACCATTGTGAACCGTAAACCCTGGTTGCTTTGCACTTTGTTTGTGCCATAAATTGAGCCCTCATTTTCCCAGGACATTGTACCCAGTGGTGTATTGCATAGTGAATGTAAGGCTTATAGGGAACCAACTTACACACTGATGGTATCATTACTCTATATTGTGTAATCAACATTTGCTTTATAATCATAGGTTAAAGCAAAAAAAGTGTCTGTTTCCACTGCAGGAAACTGAATTTCCAAAACATTCACTATATCACAATACATGTGTGGTAGATATGGAAGTATTTGGGAGTCTCACAGTGTCATTTTGATTCTTTATGTCTTGAGTTTGATTCAGAATTGACTCTTGATTCAAAATCAATTCTCGATTCAATAAATAAAAAAGAGGCCCTGTTTATGAAGCGCTCTCACTCCATTGCACTGTGTGCAAAAGTTTTCACTTATGTTTTTGTTCACACTTGCATTATGAACACACTTGCATTATGAAATCTCACTGGCAATTAAGCTCGCTGGTCTCGATGGTTGATTTTCTGGCTGAAAAAATAAAGCAGAGAAGGTGTGTGGAAGTACGCCGCTTTTTTATTTGGAAAAATTAACTACAAAAATTGGCACATGTGACAGTCCCTCATGTATACAAGAATATTTAGATAAGAGATCTTGATGAAGACAAAAAATTAGTCTATTTGTTAGAAGCTGCAAATCAACCCCTGTGCTGCAGTCCTTTTCTTTTCCCCTGATGATTCTGGTGGTATCTGAGGGAAGATGTTGTCTGTTATGTTATGTGATGTCACGTCTCAAGCAGTTGAGACGCCCTTGTAGAGGTGGAGGTGCAGTGGGCCGTGGCATGTTTACTGGTGCATGAGTTTGATGTTCCACCTTTGTCTCTGTGTGATGACATACCAGCTATTCAAAATGTTAACCTTGGTCTTGCAAAGAAAACTGTGAAGTTCAATACATTTTTCTTTCTATGCCTGTGGCATGTTATAAAATCACATATAGCCTACTATGAAAGAAGATTAGATCCATACCCATCTCTGTATGCTGAAACCTTTTTTTTGTTTTTGACTTGAACTTTTATTAATTTTCTCAACAAACAGAACATCAAGATAGTATACTTAACTTACATATCTGCAAGGGTACTAAAAAAGAAATGGAAAGAAAAAAATACAAAGGGGTAATGATTACAGAGGGTTTATGTGTGTCTTAGCAAGTTGTGTCAGGTTAAACTAGACAAAACAGACAGAAATATTGGTCCATTCATGTTGGTTCTGCAGTCCGTCTCAAGATTCTTGGAAAAGTAGGTATTTACAAATAGTATCCAGTATAGCCTTCCACAATTGTTGCTCCTCATATTGAAATTTAAGAAAGGTTAGAAGCTGCTCCCTCCATGGAGATCATCTCCAGAAATGACTGAAGTTCCTCTTTCAGCTGGGCTGCGTCCTTCCAATTTGTTGCTTTTAGCTGTCATGCATCCAGTTTCTACAATTTCTGTATTGTGTTTTGACCAGTTTCCATTAACATAATAAATCAAAAGACACAATGCTAGGTCACAGTGAACAGTGAAGCCAATATTTTTTCCAAGGGATTGTGTAACATTTTCCCAGAAGGTTTTAATCTAAGTCTGTACCATATGATAAAAAGTACCTTTATCTTGTGTGCAGTGCCAACAAAGATCAGAGTCATGAACTCCCATCCTGTGCAGTCGAACAGGGATGAAATAAGTTCTGTGAACAAAATTATAATGTATCATTTTGTTCTTTACTAGTTTGTGAAATGTTTTCC